CAATTCACCCTCTTTCCTCCCTTGTTTCGTCAGCACCAGAGGCCAGGTCAGTTCGGGTTTAGTTCGGCGAGGGACCTTAGGCCTGCGTAAAGCTGTGAGCATAAACCCCATACGAGTCAAACATGTTCTTGGCCTCGAATTCCCAAGCTCTCCACTTTCCCGAGCTCTCAAGGCGGCCATCTTCTGCTGATCGGATCGCACTTCGGACGGGGATAATGGTTTGAGTATAATGTGTTTCCCGTTGTGCTTGAAATTGTAGCAGTTGGAACCACCGTCATGGATCACAGCGCGATCATATTGCCACAGCCGACAGAGTAAGAGATGGGCGGCCTGCATTGGCGCTACATCAGACCAGAGCTCGTCCTTGTATGGACCAATTTCGAAGTTAGCTCGAGCTCGTTGTGTCACTTTAATCGCGCCATAATCATTGAGCCAATGAAGGCTGTATGGATCAGGGTGTTTATCCGTCTCCAGCTTTAGTTTCTTGACAGCGTCGATGCTGATTACATTCGTACAACTTCCCCCATCGACAACCACGGACAAGCAATTTCCATTGACGAGACACCTTGTGTGAAAAAGATTAGTTCTCTGGTCGTCACTTGCTTCCCCTTCAGTCGCCAAGGCACGTAGAGTCATCCCTGAAATAAATGGACCAGACTCGGCCTCAATTGTCTCATCTACTTCCTCTTCCGATGAATCTTTACGCGCGACTGGACTGCCCGTTTCGTCATCTGAGACGTACTCTCCATCTCGCAGTATTAAGGTCTTGAGGTTGGGGCATTGATTTGCCTTGTGGCCGCGACCATGGCACTTGAAGCACTGAATCGAGCCAGTGGAGATTCCTGTGCGTTCTGTATTCGTCGTAGGAGCATTCCGCGGCGCAGGTTTGAGCAGCTCTGGTTTGTGGGAATGGGTAGAAGACTCTGCTGCACCCTCCATAGCAGGTTTATGGCTTGAAAACCTTTTGTCTAATGTCTCCCTTTGCTGCTTCTCGATCTTTACAGCCAGGTGCACCGCTTCGTCCAAATCCACGAACGCTCAACTCTACTTCCTGACGAATTTCACGACTTAAGCCGTGGAGGAACCGAGCTATCGTAGCTTCCCTATCCTCCCTCACGTCAGCTCGTAATAACAACAACTCCAGCTCACGAAAATACTCTTCAACACTTCTCGACCCTTGCCTGATTCCTTGCAGTGAATCGTGTAGCTCTCGAAGATAGTATGCAGGGACAAACTTCTCCCTCACAAGCCCACGTAATTTGTCCCATGTGGCCACTGGAGGTTGGAGATTTTGGCGACGGCGAAGCTGCAATTGCTCCCACCATTGAGTTGCGTAATCCGAAAACTCGTACGTGATCATAGCGAGCTTCTGTGACTCGTTGAATCGGCCACATTGAAAGAAAAGAATGACCTTTCGCTCCCAGTCGAGGTACGTAGAGGCATTCAGTGCCCCCTGAAAATTTGGAAACGTCAACTTGATTCCCTGAGGAATTCCTGGTTCTGTTTCCGCGTCCCTGTATTCACGTCGATCGCGATAACGACGTTCGTGATCAGGATCAGCCACCACCACCCGCTGTTCGAGTTCCTGGACCCGCTCCAATAATTCCTGGTTGACTTCTCCAAGTCGCTCTTCCTGGGAGTTCGGCGTTTGCCTCCATGCTCTACCACAATCCTCGGCGGAACAGGGGCACGAGCCGTCGCGCTCAATTCGGCTAGTTGCTTATGAATTTGGTCGAATTGCAACTGCAACGTCGCCACAATGGATTGAATCAGGTCCTCATTGTTGATGTTTGGGTCTCCCATAACCTGTTCTCTTGATTGAGTCGCCGGTTTGGATTCAACCCCGATCTCTGTTTTGGTACGTTGCACGGCAGGGTCTCTGTCGACAAGACCCTTTGATCTCGTCCACGCGCCTTCCGTATTTCTAATTCCTGTGTAGAACCAAGGCTCTGATGCCACTTAATACGAGCACAGTAGTGCTTGTTTGAGTGCAAAGCGTGCAGCTCCAATTTGTCGACGAAAGAATCGTCAATTTGAACTAGAACTTAAATCGAAAACGGCCAAAGGTGCAACTTCACACTAGGGAAGAAGCTCGATTGGTTTAGGTCAAAGCTCGGCCACGATTGATGCGATTTCAATCGATACGAAGCAAAATACGAAGCTGGAACACAACTTTGTGAAAACTCACAATTTTAATTCATCCATCTCTGCCGATTACACTATAAGTTGATGTTTTTATAGACCTAGCTACGTCTACAACTAACAAGGAATTTAAAACAGAATCTAACTCAAAAAGGAATCAAAATCCAACTCATAAACACAACCCGTGTCAAACAAGGAAAACAGGGCTGCCTTGGAAGGCAAGTAATGGTGTGTCTCCATCCCAACTTCAAGGCTCTCGTTCAGAACCTTCCAGGCCTTGTTTGGGTCAGCCAATCTCACGTCTCTGTAGTAGAAAACGCAAGCTTCCATGTGGAATAATCCTCCAAACCTGGTTCCACTTCCATCGTCGTGCAAGAAGCCCCAAACCTGCCTTTCTGAACTTGCTTCTGGACTTAGTAAAATTCTGGCAGTTTTGAGCTGTCCAGGTAGCATGTTTGAACGTCTGGAACACAGCCTTCTGGACTTCCCCTCGAGCTACAAAGCACATCACTAGATAGATGAACTCTTTATCTTCAAAACGAGTCATCCCATCTGCATTTCCATTGAACCATTCAAGAGAAACAAGCCCCCAAAGTAGGCTTCCTGACCCGGTTTCACTACTTAGCCAAAATTCAGAATTTGTCGTGTAATTTGAAACAGCTTCTTCCGCAAGCAATGGTGATGTGTGGAATGATCCAATTGGGATCATATCAATTAACATAAGAAATAACATCTCGATCTCCCTTGGTGGTGGCAGCCAATTTCCCTTTTAGATTAATGATACAAGATTGAGAGTGACTAGCATACAGTTTCTCCATAATCAACCATGCTTCTCGAGATGTAACAGCATCAGACACATAAAAATATAGAGATTCAGATATAGAACAGCGAAGAGCATGGAGAATGAGTTTATCTTGGCGATACCAACGACGATATGTAGGATTGGGAGTGGTGGTATTCTCTGCTGTGATTGTTTGTGCAGGAGCCACGCCAGTTCCATCAATGAAGCCAATGAGATCCAATCCCATGAGGAGGGTCTCCAATTGTGATCTCTAGGAGTGAAAATTGGTCGAGGTCAATTTTAAAGGCAATTGAGCAGCTGGATTGAAGATAATAATTGCATCTTCTGCAGGTACAGAGGTGTTTGAAACTGAGGAGCCTGTCATGGTTAAGGAAACTGGAAACAGGGGAAGAGGAAAATATTCGTGGGAAAGAGGGAAGAATTGTGTTTGAGCTAGGTGATCGTATCCTGCTCTGATTCCATGAAAGAGGCTTCGCAAAATTGATATTATTGAGAGAATCTTAACTTGATTGTATTGAATAATAAGTCTAAGCTAATATACAGATTTGTACAACAAGAATGGCTCCCACGTTCCATAAAGTTAGGTACCGAACTGGTAGTGGGAGAAGTAGGGAAAATAGGAGAAAAAATAAAGATAAATTTATTTACATACATCCTTAATACATCGGACTATGGGTTATAGCGGCAATAAATCAGTTTGTTCCAATAACTCGAGTTGTTGGGAGAATGTTATGCTGGATTTTATACCGTTCTCTAACACGCTCCCTCAAACGAAAGCCAACTCATGAACTTGAAGTTTGCAAAGACGATAACCATACATTGTGCTTTAATCAACTGTTAATATTGAGGGTCATGGAGATTTGAACACACGGTCACTTGGCCAAACCAGCTTTGATATATACCATGTCATAAACCAACTGGTCCGAATAACTCGAGTTATTGGATCCAACTAGTTTATGACAATAGCATTGAAACTATTTTAATTCACTGTTCCTCTCTAGGGATGACAAAAATAACCATATCCATGGATACCCGCCCAAATTCGATCTAATTGGGTGGGTAAAAATCACATTCGAAAGATATTTTTGTGGGTATAGGTAAAACGCAAACTCGAATATTGCGGGTGATGAGTGAATGAGCATGGCTTTCTCACTATCCAAATCAAATCGTTCGAATATACACATAAGTTGAAGAAATTATCATTATTTTTATGAACATATTTATATTTATCATACATATGTAATATTTTCATGAAATTGTATTCTTTTCAACTAATTTTCTTCATTTTAGTAATTTATTATTGTAATTTGTCCGTAATGTCAGTATATTTGTAATTGTTGACATATTGGTTGAACTTATATAAAAATAATTAATTATTAATAATTTTGAATATCTTAATTAAACCCGAATGGGTATGGATAAAACCGAACTATTTGTCTATTTCGGGTAGAATAATGGATATTTACTATCCGGCCCCAACCCGACGCGCAGCTTCCAAACGTCAGGTTTACCTGTCGCCCAGTCAATGCGATTTCCGTCCATTTTGACTTGCTCGGTTTCGAACGAGCACCCGAAATTTCCGTTAGCTTCCCTATCCCTATTGCCCAATAGGAAGATGAGAGACAAAAAGTGACGTCGATCCAACTAAAACATATGATGATATTTATGGCCAAGACAGGTTTAGCTTTGCATTACATGGAACTCACCATCTGAAATTTGCATTTGAATTTAGTTTCCGTGGTTGTTCACTTGTCCAAATTGTTGCTTAACTTTCGGAACCCCTACGCCAGATATAGGAATCGCTGCCATATTCATTTGTTAAAGCAAAGTCTTGGTCCTTGCCTCCTTGGTCTTGGACATCAATTTCGCTTAAATACAGATTATGATACACGCTATTCGATTGTTAAATTTAATCGGGAGCAGGTGCAACTTGTTCGTCTGCAAAGGCTCTTCTTCGCGACCCTGATCTTTTATTATATCGGGAGCAAGAGGCCACAGCTTCGCATCACTCAGAACCAGCTGCAGTAAAAGCTTCTTCGTATACTGAATACTGGAAATGGGCTATGACGAGAAAATTCGCATCATTTCCACAGAAACTATCAAACCATCTTCTCCAACTCCGAGCCACCTCGCCAAATTCAAGCTCTCCCTCGTCGATTACTACACGCTTGACGCAGCTTATATGCCCCACGTCTTCTTCTATCCGGCCCACGGTTCGAAATCATCAGAAACAGATCAGAGGCTCCAGGCCCTGAAATCTTCACTAGCCCAGGCCCTGGCCCGCTTCTACCCGCTGGCCGGGCGGTTAACGGCCAAGAATCATGTGGGCCGTCCGGCCCATTCAATCATCCATTGCAACGACGAGGGCATTCCTTTCTCTACGGCCCGTGGCAGCTTGGATTCGCCCATGACTCTGTTTCTCGCCAGGGGACCCGACGCCGACTCGCTCGTGCAATTCCTCCCCTTTCCGGCGGCGCGGCTCCTCACGGCGGCGGATATCGAATCCGCGCCGCAATTCGCCGCCAGAGCCACAATTTTCCCCTGCAGCGGGATCGCCGTTGGGATCTGCGCGCTCCACAAGATCATGGACGCGCACACAGTCGCCAATTTCATGAACCTCTGGGCCGCCGTCGCCCGCGGGCAGGGGAGCAGTGAAGTAGGCGCTGCCGCCGCAGCCTACGCTCACGACCGCGCGGCCACGTCGTTGTTTCCGCTGAATCGGCACGATGTGGGGCCTGGAGCCGTGAATTCAGGAGGTGAGGAAGGGAAGAAGATGGTGACGAGGAGGTTCGTGTTTGATGGGGAAGCCATTTCCGCCCTGAAATGCAGAGGTAGGAGCGACCCAGTCCCCAACCCGACCCGATCCGAGGTGGTTGCCGCGTTCATGTGGAAATCTGCAGTCAACGCCACCGCTGAAGCGGTAAAGTCAACCGACGGTGGCGAGGCAAAGCCGATAACGGTTCACTCCGCCGGAGGTACGTGCGTTAAAGTATTTTCCGCAGCTGATTAGGAAGACATGTCAGAGAGGGTTGACATTAATAACAACTTGATAGTAGGTGGCTTTGGTTATGCGATAGATGCATAATTAGATATAAGTCTTTAATTTTTATTTTATCATTGTTTTAACTCTTTGATTTTAATTAGGAGTTTCTATTTTTTTTTATACCTTTATTCCATATTCACTTAGTTTTTACCCTCTTTGTTTAATGTGGATTTCAAAAAAATTACACAAATTAAATGGGTTTGTTGTGATTTATAAAATGATATTCATTTTCAATATATTTCGAGAAAAAAATATTTCATACCACTTGTTTCCACCAGGCATGCTACCCCTTGGTACCGCCTTTGTTTTAACACAAATTTTTAAAAACAATTTGGTGAGAAAGAACGAGTTCATCGTTATCTATTGTATCTACAAATTTATGGGGAAATTTTTTTTAAGACTAAATATACCACCCTATTATAGGGTGGTAACATGTGGTATACGGTGATGAAATTTAGTAAATGACAATTAGTATATTCATACTATCATGTATGAAACCGTTATACACTCTGCTATATTCAAACCATCGTGATACACTTCTATACCATGTGATTATATATATTAATACAAGATATGGACTGGTAATATATGTCTCAGTATTTTTTTTAAATATATCAAAGTAAATATCATTTTGAAAAATAAATTAATCAGATTTATCTGTAAAAAAATAAAATTACAAAAGCATAAGACTGGTTTAAATTAATTGGATTAAAGTTACCTACATAAATGGAGAGTTTCTGATATGAATGATTACTGACTCTAAAGTTATTAGACTGAATCCTCAAGCTAACAACGGGCGATAGAGAAAGGCTCATATGAGACAGAATTATTATTTCAGTCATCATGAAATAATTAGTGGTTGATGAAATTGTTAATTGAATTTATCAAATAAATGGAAGTTTTGATGGATTCGTAGATAAGATTGCCAAGAAAAAGAATGATGTGTGTATAAATAAAGTTTAATTTAAATAAATAATAATTAACATTTTGTACTATTTTATTTCTCAATCTCAAACTTTGTCGTGATAAAGAAAGACATAAAATTTAAAAGTCTATCCTATGACTTTTACGTTGGTGATTAGGGATGGCAATAAAACCAATGGTCGCGGGTATCCGACCGCCCCCGAGTAAAACTCGCAAAAAGTTTGATGGGTATGGGGCGGGTATGGTTTTGACCTTCCCGCCCCATACCCATACCCATACCCGCCCCACCAAGAGAATTTCTTCACATATAAAAAATATGTGGATTAAATTGTAATCTATCAATGGTGATGAGGATAACTCAAGGAAATAAATAGTAAAAATGCAATTGAGTGACCATTTTTATCAAAATCTAATTCATTTCCCTCAATTCTCCTTTCACTCTTTCACTTTTCCCCTTGTCTACAAGATTATGTTAGTTAATTATTATTTAGTAGATGTATAAGAGTTAGAAGATAATAATTTGAAAAATATTATACTCTATATTATGTATTAATGGATGTTTTAGGATCATATACTTTGAACTATATTAAGAAAATAATCGTGTTTTGTTGACTTCATGATATAATAGGTTCGTTTAGAGTAATAATTAAAACTTTTCTTGTAAATTTTAGGTATAATAATGTTAGATGTATGGGTACGGGTATTACCCATGGATACCCAAAACCCACGGGTATGGATGGGTTTGCAAAACATTTCCCGCATGGGTATGGGGCGGGTATGGGTTTCGATATTTGAAGATGGGGATGGGGATTGTTTAGACAAACCCGCCCCAAACCCGCCCCATTGCCATCCCTATTGGTGATGTAGCCTATATTAATCATTATGAATTATGATTCTCAATAAAAAAAAACCCTTGATTATTATTCTATATTATATGTAGACGATTTTTAACATAAATTAAATGAAACATCCTAAGCAAATTGTCATATTGATTCCTTTCATTATGTCAGCCTTTTTGTTCTCATAACAAGTAACGAGTATCTCTACAAAAAAAAAAACAAAAAGTCACGAGTAAATTCAAACCTAGAAATCTACTGTATCATTATTTTCATACAAATTTGCACACATCATTAGTTTTTATAATAATGTATGGATTTGACGTAAAATTATCATTTTCTTAACCAAGAATAGGGATGGTCGTGGATCTCCGACCTAGGATGAAAGAACCATGGCCGGACTACTCCGTTGGCAATATAATATGGGCGAACCACTCGTCGTACAAGTACGACAGCAACCAACGATTGGATGAAGCAAACGCATTGCAGCAATTGGTGGGCAAGTTGAGGAGCTCAACTTCAAAAGTGGATGCGAAGTTCATGGAGAAGTTAAAAGGAGGAGATGGAAGGGAGGAGTTTTTCAGGAATCACGAGGCATTGCGGAAGGCACTGATGGTGGATGTAACTGAAAGTGACACTAGGGTGATGATGTTTGGGATGTCGAGCTTGGTCGGGATAAGATTCTACGATGTAGATTTTGGATGGGGAAAACCAGCCTGGGTAAGTATGACCGCATTTTCAAATCAGGTGCACAACATGGTTTTTTTTATGGATTCGCCGATCGGACATGGAATCGAAGCTTGGGTTACCATGCACGAGCAAGAAATGACTATCATGGATCATGATCCTGAATTCCTTGCTTATGCCAATAATAATCCAAGTGTATTATGGGCGTGTCTAGCCCGACTTTGAAACGATCGTGTATGCGTGCTTCTCACGAGCACCAAATAGAAGGTTACACAAATTTGAATGTTTTGGTAAGCCGTCGATGTGAGCATTTTGTGTTCTTCTATTTTCTTCGACTATAATTGCTTTCATTTGGTGCTATAGTGCTCTCGAACTTTATCCTGTAATAGTCTATCGTACTACACTCGTGATTCCTACTTATTTGATGATATATGCGTAATAACATGTAAACTTGAAATTTTTTCCTCGTGCATTTCATCAACATCTTTATTTTGTTATTGTATAAGAACTTTGTTAACTTTTTTAGTTTGATGTTTGGTATTCAATTATCGATCTTCGAATATTAAAGAGAAATGTGGCATAGAAGAAGAACAAGAACCTATATAATTAGCAAAAATGGTCACACAACTTATGTTTTGTACAAAGTGGTCATAATTTTGTGAACATAATGATACATGTTAATCCAACGATCTCGAAACATCCAATGCTCAGTCTGACGGTTGTGACGTCCTTACATATGGTGTCATTCAAGTAAATGAATATTTTCACCCTTGGATTAGGAAGAGATCAGAGAGAGAGAGAGAGATTTCACAAGATGTAGAATGTTATTTAGGTTGAATCCCTTTAGTTATAGGTCTACATGGGTCATATGCAACTTGACGAAGGCTTCCCTATCCTCTAAGTTGCAAGGAATGACTCAATCTCGCACCTAAGGCAATGTTCATGTTTCATAGATGAACTCCAAGTAGACTTCTCGGCTTAATGGTCATGCAACCGGAAAATTGCTAGGGCACTAAGCCTAGATTTCTCTTATTGGAAACAAGCCCAAAGGCAAATGAGATTTCGACTCAATGGTCATACAATCCAAATCTCACACTACTTGACGTATTTTCTAATCTTGACTTAGGGAATGGTGAGCTCAACCTAGATCAAGAACAAACAATAACCACTTTTACTAAGGCAAAACATTGGCATGATTAAACATAAAATAGATGTAGATAAATATGTTGACAATCATTCTTACATACAATCCATAAACAATATACATGGTAGGTTCATTCTTACATACAGTCCATCTTCTTGAACAACAAAAGAAGATAAAACATAGAGAGAGAATGAGTGTACAAATGGGAAGAAGAGCAACAATCCATGGCTAGATCTTTCTTCTCCTTCTTGCTTTGTCTCCCTTTTTTGAATCTTGGGAGGTTTTGGGGTTAGGATGAAGAAGAAATTACCCAAAACCTCTCCAAACTCCTCACTCTCAGAAGAGATAAAATGTTACTTAGCTTGAATCCTTCTAGTTACAAGTCCACATGGGTCGTATACAAGTTAACAAATGCTTCCATATGTTCTAAGTTGTGAGATATCAATCGATCTTGCAACTAAGGCAATGGTGGTGTCTCATAAATGCACTCCTAGTAGACTTCTCAATGCCATGGTCATGCAACCGACAAATCCGTAGATGCTAGGGCACTAAGCTTAGATTCCCTAGATTGGAAACAAACCCAAGAGAAAATGGGACTTCAACTCAATGATCATACAATCCAAATCTCACACTACTTGATGTATGTTCTAATATTGACCTAAGGAGATGATCACCTCAACCTAGTTAAAAAACAAGCAATAACCTCTTTTACTAAAGCAAGTGATTGACTTGATTAAACATCAAATAGTCATAGATGAATAAGTTCATAATACATACAACCCATAAACAATATACAAGTTAGGGTTCATCTTCCTAAAACAACAAGAAGCTAAAACGAGAGCTTGAGTTCTGCAAAACTAGATGGCCTCTCTGCAGTATAAACTTGTTGTCTAGGCTAGGGGAGAGGTTTGTGAGTTTGATGCTTGGTATTCACTTATCGGTCTTTGAACATCATAAGAAAAATTTTGGACAAAAAAGAATTAGGATAATTAGCAAAAATGGTCACATAACTTATGTTTCTGTGTAAAGCGGTGGAAATTATGTAGATAAAACGACACGCACACAACCAACGGTTTGAGAGTGAAAGGAGACTCTGCTTATATTTTAGACCTTCTCCAATATTAGCATTTTGTATGACCAAAAGGATTTTGCTCCAATGGCAGAATGTTGAAATGCCAAATACTTCAAATTCAACATTTTGTCCTTATCTCTATTAGTGTAAATTCAAATCACCTTAATTAGATAATTTATTCATTATTTTTATCTATGTATTAATTAAGAGTGAACATTTTCGATGTATTTTTTCTTATTTGAACACTAAATATTTTCTTAACTTCAAATATTTAGTTCATAACAAAAATACAAAATTAGATTCATATTCATCACATCGCGATGTATAGTGTGTTTTTTTTTAACTAATCTGGAAAGTGGCTCCGATTGGAAATCTCTATGTGTAAATTCAAATCACCTTGATTAGATAATTTATTCATTATTTTTATCTATGTATTAATTAAGAGTGAACATTTCCAATGTATTTTTTTTTATTTGAACACTTAATATTTTCTTAACTTCAAATATGAAGTTCATAACAAAAACACAAAAATAGATTCACATTCATCACATCATGATGTAAAGTTTTTTTAACTAATCTGGCAAGTGGCTCCAATTGGAAAATAGGCGCTCAGAGACAACAGAGACCTCCACCCTCTCAATCTTCTCTCCCCCTACCTTCAATCTCCTTTCTCCTATTCGTCTCTCGATCTTCAGATTTCCATCGCTCATTCCTTCCAATTTTCGCTTGTTCGATTGATGGGCAATCCTCATTCCTCCTTTCCAGTATTCCTCTAATGTTATTCTTCTCTTTCGTTTCTTTATACACAGTATCTCCCTCTCCCAATCGGTAACACGACTTCCCCAAGAAACCGAAAGAGAACCCCTCTCCATTCTCTTTAGTATGGCTTGCGAGATGACTCGCATACAGCAACAGCAGTATAAGGGTATGTATGTTTTCGAGTGTAAGTTGAGACTTTCTCAATCTTCATGGCTGATCCCCAACTGGGTCGTGGATTGGGCAAAGCAATTGGATACGGCTTTCCTCGGAGTTTCTGGCATTGTCGAAGTGACTGAAACAATAGCTGGGTAATGCGATGGTTTGTTTTATAATTTAGTTTCCAGTGCCGACTGTTCTTGAGTGGCCGCTTTTGTTTAGCTTGCCCTGTTCCTAGTATCTTCTCTTTCGTTGATTCCATAGAGATGGGGAAGGGCATCGTTGCTTCTATGTTTCGATATAGTAGTCTCACCTGGTGCAAAGTTTTCACAGAATCGCAGATTTGCAAACACCGAAAGAATGGCCTGGGTACAGATCATCAATCAAATGTTTGCCCTCAAAACCTCCAGATACCTTTACCTAGGACGGGAAGGCAGCTGCAGTCGTGCCATGTTTATCACATGGTTCGGAGAATCCAGGGTATATCCCTCATACTTCCTTAACCTGTGCTTCTCCCTCGTTTAAATAACAAAACCAGTGGCGGTTGTTCAAAGTGGTGTTGGATAATTGTATCTGTGCACAGATGCAGAACAGATCTTACGGTAAGAGAGTTTTTCAATTGGTGTATCATGTACCTTATTTCTGCACGGATGATGCTGGAGAGTTCCTGTTTCGCTCAAGTACCTATGGACACGCCAATACAGCACATGACTCTGATCTCCCAGATCCATTCCATAACCTTAGGCCAAAATCATCTCCTGCAAGAAAGGTATCACCTCTGCCGTGAGATCTGTTCAGGGTTAATATGGTCTCTCTCTCTCCTACTGATCTGAGACTCTCTAGATTCCAACCCTCAATGGACCTGTCATACGAAATCCAATAGCTGTGTCAATGTTATGTTAACTCGATGATGAGAACGATTCTGAAAGTGGTCCCTTCGAGGACATCCGATAAAATTGGAACGATACAGAGAAGATTATCATGGCCCCTGCGCAAGGATGACAGGCATAAATCGAGAAACGATTCTGAAAGTGACTCTACAGGTAAGGTGGAAGAAATCTGAAGCAGACTCCCCAAACATGCTGATGAGGAAAGAGAATGGCTACAGCATCAGCAGCAGCCTCATCGGGTATGGGTTGTTTGAGCCGTAAAAACGAGCTGGTTTGGAGATCTTGGTGATGTTGATGCAGTGAAAGTCATCGAGCACATCGAGCTAGAATGAGAAAGAGTGCACTACTGGTGGTCCAGTCACATGGCTAACTCCAAAATGGAGATCAGAGGGAGACCTGCAGGCATTTTCAGCTGCAGCCATTGTCAGCTGCAGCCATTGCCAGGCCTATATATGATAGCTTTCCGAGTCCTTTCAGTTAGTGGAGATACAAAGCAGCTGTCTACTAGGGTTATACCCATCATAAACATAAAACCACTTCTGATGTCATTTTGCCACAAAACGGGTTTGCTGAGTGAAGAATTGCCTACTTTTCGACCAGCGAGAGAGCCAGCCAAGCCCAGCTGGCAATGATCAAGTTCAGGCCTCTGAATTTGTAGCTAGATGATCAAAACTGGAGAGAGATTGGTTCAAGTTACATGTAATCATTTTACAATCTCTCATCCATTCACTTGAATCCATATCTAGTATATGAGACCGGAAATTTAAGTGCTAATCAGTACAGCAAGAAATTTGCATTTGTGCTATATACCTTGAGCGAATTATGTTGTTTCCAAGGTGACATATTTTAATGGCTTTTGAGTAGCCCATATAAGGAATTCGCACTTTGCTGGAAAGATAAAGACATAAAACAAATAACCATTTCCAGGCCTTCTTTCCCTCGGTCGTCCATGTACATTTGGTATGCAAGAGAATTCACATATGCAAGAGGGAAAGGGTGGGATTGAGAACCTGTAATGTTGTAATGTATTAATTTTCCAAAAATTGGAAGATTCCTGTGCTATGCTATGCTAAACTTAAATCTACTAGACATAATCGTAACATCCAAGTTCATGCACTTTCGCCTTAAGTTCAGAAATCTACCAAAAGTATTTACCTTTGTATCTATCGGCCACCAGGCAGCTCGTTAACTCCATATTATCTCCCCCACGAGCTTGTTAACTGCATCTGGGGAAGATTCTTCGCCTCTTATGCTTACCCCAAAACCTGCATTACCAGAAACTTGCAGAGCTCAAATCCTTCTGTGGGTTAACATATGCTACATGTCAAATCTCAGTGATGGTTCAAAAATCACTCCAGTTAGCTAACTCTCCCATTCCTGAAATTTCAGTTTTCAGCAATGGAAGCATATCTGGACAATAACTTATCAGGATAACTCTCATCCTACATGCAATACCAGACATTAATGAAATAGCAAAACCATCTCTGCAGATGGGCAAAATTCAATACAAGTTTCAACTAGGAGGACCCCCTAAGCGAAATAAGGAAACCAGAAGCCAATTGATATAGAAACTGCATATGTGAATTTGCAGTGAGACAAATGTGGGAAGGATGTACAGAATGCAGCACAGAGGGCACTTCAAAAACAAGGATAGATGCAACATTGAACAACCAAATCTAAGCAAAAAATATTCAACATAAACCAGATAAACACAGCATGATGTTGAGACGGTCTTCAGATGCAACTAACTTTGACATAGGCTCATGCATTATCTTCACAAGTAAAAAAGGGAGTAAAATGCACACCGAGGCTCTTGTCCCTAACACCACTGCTAATTACACAATCAGATACACTACCAAATACAAAAATATAAGAAAAAACTTAACAACTAGGTAACTACGCCAGTTCTCCTTCAGTTCTTAACCTTGATTCCATAAGCAATCAAAAAATATCATGCAACACAAATGTAACCAAAAAATTCATAACATCCTCTAGGGTAGACCCCTACTGGAGAACAAGAAAGCAATCCAACCAGCTTCATCTTGCATCCTTTAACTGGGTGTTAAACCACTTTAAACAAAAAATAAGCGTTCATTAAGAACAGTGGATAAGCTGCTAATGTCAATAGGTTTTATTCTTTTCAGATTTGGCCACAGGAAAGTTTATAAACTATGCCTAGCTCGGCAATGGCATTATCCAATAGATAAAAAGAAATTAGCCTACCCTTTTGAAGTCCAATCTAGAGGAAAACTTACAAAGACAACCCACAAGATTAGAGTGTAGTGATCACTCATCCCTAGGTCCATGTATTCATGAGAATTCTTATAGACCAGAAGAGCTGAGAGATACACAAGAAGCAACAAAGGTTCAACAAATAAAACCCCAAGCAAGAGCCTAGCCAATACTTAGGGATGCTAAAACCACAAAGCTTCACAATTCCTTTATTATTTTCTTTTTACCATACTTCTCTTCGTTCTACTTCTTGATTGAATAATCATCTTTGTTTCCTAATATATGAACCTCCATAACAATCTTAAGAACAGGGGCAGTCCAGGTCACCTTCGTTAAATGAAACTAATAATAAGTAAACGCAAGTATCCCTGAAATCAGTTTATTCAACTCTTCCTTCCTAGGTTCTCCTTTACACTCTTGATCAATCAGATTGCATCAAAGCACACAGATGTGGATTCTCAAAGTGCCTAATTCCACCGAGTTCAGTATATGACTTGGACACAATCATCAGGAAGCTCTTAAGAGGGGAAAAAGAATCACGCCATGTATCCTAATGGAGCTAAATACAACAAGTACAGCCAAGGGTTCTGTCCAAGAAACATAATACAGTTCTGTTCAGTAAAATGTTAAGACAGACCAGTGCCTACAACTCAAAGCTCATCACAAAGAAGTGCAAGTGTAAAGCAAACTGAATTTAGCCTGCAAAGAAATCACAACCATTGTACATGACAAACATTCCCGAAAATGCATGTATATCCTTGGTGAATTGGAGACTGCATAGCATGACAGGAAAAAGGCATGCAAGTTTCCTCATGGAGAGATGTATGATGAAAGAAATACAATGGCTACAAAAAAGAGCATGACTTCTAAGAGAATGAAAACACCGAATCGATGCAATGTGGGTGATTGAATAGTTCTTTATATTGTTAAAAAGAGTTCAGTATAATTACAAGAACAGAGAAACAGATATACTAACCAAGTCAGAAATACGGGTCTATACTCGGAAGCAAAAGTTCCCGCGATACATTTGTCAGGGAGGGAAAATACAATATACAGAGTCCTGCCAAATTCTCCACAAGATCTAAATGCCCGACTTCAGGTTGTAGTTATATTCTGTCCAGTGTTATCAAATGCTTGAGTATGTGCTCACAGTGTCTGCTTCCTTCTGTTGCTCCCCAGCTCTAAGAGAAATCATCAGTTAATCCCCACAAAATTGACACTAACCTAACAAGAAGATATCATTTGAACAACAATTAAACAGTAACTTGACTTCCATAGAAAAGGCAGGGAAAGTAATATTGTCGAGAGAATAAAAAACTACAAAATCACACCAGATTCATTCAAATGGGATCTCATCAAGCAAGTTGAAAGTACGAAAAGCATGGAACAGATGCTCACCAAATCACAGTAGGCGAGTGTAAAAGTAAGAACTAAACAGATGCCTGAATTTTAAAGGGACGGAAAGTGAGCATGAAAAGTAATGGCGCACTTAAACTTAACAAACATTTAATTTCAACTTCCAATGCTACTTAGCCCCAGAATGAAGTCAGAAGCATACTTAGGAAGTCCCAGGTACATGGAGGAGGTTCAACATAGATAACGAAACAACCACAAGTTAAGAGAAAAGAGGGAATTACCAAGACAAGGACGGAAACCTTCAAACTCATATCCTTAACCTGGCCTCCAGCAATTAACAGTGGACATGTCCGGTCTACATGGCCTCATCGGAGAAACACCATGACCTGCAACAACACAAGCTATGGTCAACAGATATGGGATAAGAGAAGCTCCACCTCAGTTTTGTGGCCGCACAGTACTTTCTTAGCAAACAATATCAGGGATGACCTGGAATTGGAGGTGCAGCTGGCAAATTGTTACTTGCAGGGAACTGAACACCAACAGTATTCACTGGTGGCCTTTCAACTGGTCCTCGGAAGAAACCTGGCATACCAAAAACCAATCAGTCCAACAAAAATTTTGACAGGGCAAACATCCAGTTGAAAAAGAGAGAACTTGTTCAGTTCAAGTGACACAGCACATATAACTATAAGTTGACAGACTTGCGATGACTTTTTTTATAAAGTACTGTGATGGAGTCCAATAAACAGTAATTATGAAGACAAAAACAAAGATTGAAATACTTGATCTGGGAGACCATTCTGGCAAGTGCTCCAAATAAATATTAGAGTCATTATCAAAGGTAAAATTATGCATTTTGAGGCACCAGAAGCTGCAGAGGGTGCTCTATTTTATAAAGAAGCATTTGCTTAAATCTCAAAGGAAACTAGGTCACCTTTTTTTTTTTCTTTTTTTCATTCTTTTTGGGTGATATTACGAAGTAAGATCCCAAACCCAAAGTATACTACACGGACAAACAAATCAGGCTGCAGAGATACTACATTCACTATAAAATTTAAAATTAGATATTTTGATGCACCAAAAGGAAGCTAGATCACCCTTTTGCTTTCCTTTTATTTTTTGTGGGTGGTTTTATGAAGTAAGAATCCCAAAGTCTACTACACGGACAAACAAATCAGTTCACAAGCTGCTGCTGTCATTCACAGTCAACAGAGAAGCCAATTACTAGTCAAAACCTCACCAGTATCACAAAGCACGCAACCACACATGCACCGCAATCGCCTAATTATCAGATAAAATTAATCACAATTAAATTAACCCACCCATATAATTCCAAGAAGACATCTTAATGAGAAACCCATGCCTGTTGCAGCACTATATACTATCGCTCTATTCCCGATGTTCATCAATGAGTCAAGGTGAGAACAGCCTACCTTCTTGGCTAATTGAATGCACTCCATGCGATTGCGTTCTTCCACCAATCCATCCATTATGTTGATTGTTAGCATTAAATTCATTCGAGGGCATCCTCCACTGATCATCGCCAACAAATCTCCTATGCCCATCAGGATGGGATGGCACAGGAAAAGGATGGGGATAGGGTTGCTGGTGGTGTTGCTGAATCACTGGCTTTGAAAATTGAAAATGGCCCGGCGCAGTTTGCGTGAGGCTTGGATTCACAGGCCGAGGCACAAACGATGAGTTGCCCGGCTGGAATTGAGCATTGTGTTGGGATGCTTGAGGATTCAAATACACGTCATTATGACTATACTCCAAATGCCTGGAAGAACTGAATCCTGATGTTTCCCGAGAGCTGCAAACGGCTGAATGAGCAAAACGAGGTGACTGGTGACTTTTCATGACATGATCCATATGCTTCACATGAGCAGTCCCAGTCATTTGACCGGTTTTATTTCCCTGAAAAATATACACGTGCAGGATTAAGCAAGCAGCCATAAAACACACAAAATATTCTAGGATACAGTCAGAGGTCATACACTGGATGTACTGCAGTATTCATGAGATGCAGGCGTCTGATAAGCCAACTGTGGTGACTGTATAGAAGGCTGTGTTGACATTAAGGACTGAGAATGTAGAGGTTGAGCTGGCACTAAATGTTGATGTATCAAAGGTGGCTGAGGAGCTGAGGGTGGCCCAGGAGGGAGCTGTGATGGAAGAAGAGATGGTGGTGGAGGTGGAGGCGGAAGAGGGGGTGGTGGCAGAGAAGAACTTGGTGGAGGAGGTGGTGGCAGAGAAGAGCTTGGTGGAGGAGGTGGTGGCAGAGAAGAGCTTGGTGGAGGAGGTGGTGGGAGAGAAGAGCTTGGTGGAGGAGGCAGAGAAGAGCTTGGCGGAGGAGGAGGCAGAGGAGGTGGTGGAGAGGGTGGTAAAGGTGGAAGCTGAGGAGGAGAGCCCGGAGGGAGCGGTGGGGAACCATCCGGAACAAGGGGAGAGTCTGCAGGACTGTTTGATGAAGGTTTGACCACTACCCTATCAGAGAAATGGTCTTCATCTATATCCATTTCAGGTCCTTCATCCTTAAGATGGTGACCCGATACATCTTCCATTTCAAGTTCACCGTCCACATCCTCTAAGATACAATGTCGTCTGTCAGTGGGTGTAACTGTATATGCTTCGGACTCTCCTAAGGTATTGTGATCAGGTTCTGCCACCGTGGGCATGTCCCCCACTTTCTTAGGCAACTCCAATAATAGATCTTCATCGTCATCTTCTTCAAATATGTTTCCAGAGAACAAGCCAGGTAACTGAAAAGTGGCATTACTGGACAGCAGCGAACAAACATATTAAGAACAAATTTAGTCAATACACCTAATGCTGGCAGTACATCGGAAAGAAATGGAGCAGAAGAAGCGCCTTAAAAGAAAGCTCTACTTAAGAGTCCAAATCTAGACAAAAGTACTGCACATCTTCTTTTTTGGGGTAAGAACTACTGCAGATTTCTGCCTAGCAAGAGTAGGAACTTGAAACTAAATAGTAAACATCCGATAGACTACCCTGTTCATTGCAATAAAAACAGAAAAACAAATTTCTTCCAACATCATTAAATGTATTCAGGATAACAAAAGTTTCTTTACTATAACAGCCCCACATATTATCAGGATAGATTCTCTCAAGTATCAGCTAAAATAATCCTATAAGGATAATTGGATAAATCCACCATACCTCCCATACTCATCGACAAGCAACCCTTCCATCTCTCTGATAGGATCATTTAAAGCCCTTTCGCAGCGGGATGGACGTCTAAGAGACAAACCACCAGAGATTTCATCATTTGAACCCCCAATTTCATCCATAAACCGCTTCAGCGCAGATTCAGGGAAGATTTTCCGGCGAAGCCATAGTTTCAGCACCTGTTAAGAGGATATATCATCATTGTTCCGAATTTGGGCACAGAGAACTTATGTGGTTAAGAAGATTAACCTTGAGACACTGCCTGCGATTTTCCCGTGCACCAGCTCCAGGTGGAGCAGCGGCACTCAGAAGACGTGGTAACGCTGCCTGAACTGTTGGCACATATGAAGCTCCAGCAATTCCTGGTTATATTTAGCAATTGAAGACGAAAACACTAACTCTTAGATTACAATTCAATTATATTTCTGAAGAATAACATATGATTCCCAATCTTCCAAGCAAAATGAAGGGAACCTTTTTGATGAGAAGAACACTGGGTAATTGAATCCACAAGAAAGAATAAGTCCACTTTTCGATGGGAACTGGTTTCACTTTCTAGCTTTCTGATCAAAAGTTCCACAACCTGAAAACAGTAGCCTGTTGTTAAATGATTCAAGGAAACAACAAGTGGTAAAAAAAATGAAATTTAATCACTAAAGTACTAAGTTCAAGTAGAACATCATATTGCCAAATTAAGTCAATGACATGTTCTTCATAGTATAAACATCTGATATATATGGTATGCTTATTGTGGACCCTATTGTTGAACTGATATATAGATCTCGTCGACCCTACTGTTAACCGCACACCAGGTCAAAACAATATGGGTAAGGAAGTGAAAGATTGTAACAAGATATAAAGACCATACAGGATAGGCCGGTGATAAGTCCGGGTACAGTGAGTGTTTCCATCAGCTTTGCATAAGATCTACAGCTCTATGTAATCATCTTAAGATAGAACAATTAACTTACCTCATTGGAAATTCCATATTTGGCACAGTCTATGGCAAGACGGGTTGCGCGCCCTATACTTTCTTTTGTCCTCGACAAAGTCTCTATCATCCCTTCAAAAGCATCACGCGCAACAGCAGCCTCTGTGCCGCCACTCAGTGAGCCTCCAGGGGCCCTATGTCCAGAACTGACCCTTTGATCCTCATCCTCTTCATTTTCGATTCGAGTCTCAGGCCCTAAAGGATGATTTTGTGTAGATGGAGAAGGTACATTTGGGTGAGGATGAAACCCTGATGCATCACCCTGCATCCCATTGGACATGCCAGACGGTAACGGTTGGAGAAACGACGGACTAGGGCTCCATCCATGAGCATCATTCATGGACAGAAGATTATAACTGGAGTTCCCAAGAGAGAAATGTTGGGTATGAGCTTCTTTTCTTTTTGCTTGAGCGGCAGCAATGAGGTTCTTCATAGATATGGCAGAATCAGAAGCATTATCATCCGCAGCAGCTTCAACTCTGAAAATAGGCCACAATTATGGTCACAGGTAAGAAATAACAACTGAAGAACATAAGATACATATATTCGTACATACATTCCAGCAGGTAAATAAAAAAATCATACATTCAACGGGGAAAAAAAATCATACTTCACTGAAGTTTCCATCGAAATGGCCTGATCACCCACGCGTGATGGGACTTTCGGATTACTTTTAGGTCTCTCTCCAGAAAGAGCATGCCTATTTCTTTGAGCTGCCACGTGATACTGGGAAGCTTTTGCACCATCTGGGACCATACCTGAGGACTTACCAGAGGCAGCCTGGGGCTTCTTTTGCAAACCAGAAGCTGTTTTCACGGAAGCCTTGCTGGTTTTATGCTGGTCCACCCCTGTTTTGGGTGGACCAAGTGACATAGGAGAACTCTCAGGAGAAGTCAGAGCAGTATTTACCTCCTTTGCTATTACCTGCTCTTTGTCAGCCTGGGGCTTCTTTTGGGCACCAGAAGGTGTTTTTACAGAAACCTTACTGGTTTTATCCTGTCCCGCCACTGTTTTGGGTGAAGCAAGTGGCTGAGGAGAGTTCTTAGGAGAAGCCAGAGCAGTGCTTACCTCCTTCACCTTGGACATTACCTGCTCTTCATCAGCAAGGGGCATCTTTTGGGCATCAGAAGTATTTTGAGAAGCCTCACTGGTTTTGTCCTGTTCCACTACTGTTTTGGGTGATTCAAGTGACCGAGGATAGTTCTTCGGAGAAGTCAAGGCAGTGCTTACCTTCTTGGGCAATACCTGTTCTCCATCTTCACATGGACTCTGTGAATCAGGATCATTATGCATCTTCACTGTGCTCGGCCGACCAGGGGAAACACAATTCTTTTGCAAGTTTGAAGATGCCTCCTTCAATACATCATGGTGTCTAGTAGATTCAGTCACATTTGATTGGGTGTTAACTACACATTCATTTTGTCGCTTACGAGAACCTCCAGTCTCTTTGTCCCTGTCCTTGATATCACCAGAGACAGCTGCTGGAGGTTTCATACTTCTGCCAGTCCCACCATGAACAGGAGTTTTAGGATCGTCATCCTCTTCTTCCTCGTCATAGAGGCACACGGCTCTTCGTCTTTTCAAATTCTGGTTGCCATGAACTCTAGCACGACTATAAGACAAGTTATTCTTTGGATCAGGACTTCCTTTCGTTCTATCTTTTAAATTATGAACAGAATCAGTCATTGCCTCTTGTGCTCGCCGCCGACGTTTCGATACTGGTAACTCATCCTCATCACCAGTAGTATCATGCACCTTACTCCTTTGATTAACATCTGCTTTACCTTTACCCATATCACCAATTGGATTGGCATGAACTTTTCTCACTTGGGCAGACGAATCAGACTTAACCTTACCAATAAGGGTAGATGAACTGGATTTTACTTTATCCATCTGGCGAGATGCATAAGATTTTCCTTTATCTGCTTGCGGAGACGCAACAGATTTTAACCCAGTCTTTCTCGGTGACGCGTCCAATCTGCCTCTACCTGATGCAAGTGATGCATCAGAGTTAGCTTTACCTGTTCGTGCAGAAGCATCAACCTTCACTTTATTTGCATGGGATCCTGGACCACGAAGAACTCTTTGCCCAGACGATGATTTGCTCGAACTGCCACCAAAAGCATCAGAGTTCATAGAATCTTTGGGGGATTCCACATCTTCATGCTTCAGTCTTTTAGATGGACGAGAAGCATCTGAGGCATAAACCTCGGACTTCCCTGATCCAGATCTGGAACTCTTCTGTTTATCACCCATGTTTTCACGAATGCCATCAGGTGCATTTGAATTTGTTCTAGCTTTCTGCATTTCTTTTCTTTTCTTCCCTTTACTAGTTCCTGTAGGGTTACCACCAATTCCAGAAGGAGGTTTGCCTTTCACTTTGTCTTTCAATTCCTTCCCAATATCAGACGATTTACAAGGTTTCCCATCTTCCTTCTCAACCAAATCTGAACTCCTATCTCTACGAACTTTCACCGTATCATCTACTCTCCTAACTCCGTCAGTGCCAACCTGAGACTTATTACCATTTTCCTGAACCTTTGTGTCAATATCCACTTCCTGCGTGTCACCAACATTTACTCTTGCAGCAATAGAGGTATCATTTTTCCCATCTGTAGTTACCGTAGGACCAGATGCCACCTCCTGTGGCTGCTCATCATCAGAATTCTTGTCAGATGACACAGCCCCGACTGGACTGTCACCCGTATCACATGACACAGAAGGCACTGTATCTTCAGAGTCAGCTTCACTTTCTCTCCCAGAACAATAATCTCCTTTGGATCTGGAATCACCTGCATCTTCTGATGCTTCTCCATTGGATCTAGCAGCACCATCATTCAAGTCCGCCTCTCCGCCATGTCCCATTCCATCAGCAGAGGTTATCTCCCCCCGAGCACTTGACTTTTTATTTTGTAACTTCTCAAATTCTGCAGAAATTTCCTGCACTGCTTCTTTAAAGCGCTTGCTCTTGCCTTGACACTTAGAAGATAACTTGGTCTTTAATTCACTTGTGAATACTTGGATATCAGGAGGGGCAACAAAAGCTCTGAAATATAAAAAGGAAAACAGTATATGAAAATAAGAAACTAATAAGAAACAAACAAAGTCAATGACGCAACCAAATCAGAAACGATTACATGAAGGGAACAAACTGATTATCAAGCTAGCATTAGGCAAAGTACCATGCAGAAATGAATGTGCATGCATCTCATTCAAAAAGAAGTTGAAGACCAAAAAGGATCAGCATGCATTTGGAGTTCTCCCAATGAAAGTGTGAGAGTGCATCCAGATGAGACACAGCACCATGTTCAAGAGTTCAATTAAAAGAAATGATGAAGAATCAGAGGGAATAGGAGCCCAAGTAAAACTGTACGTTCACCCTAATGTCAAAAGACATTCGATGTGATGTCTTTTGGTCCCCCAAAATCATATATTAATTCACATTAAACCGTTGTTTTCTCCATGTTCATTCCATTCATAAGGAAGTTTACAAAAAACCATTACTAAAGAAACTATATACATCACTGAGTAATATGCCTAAGTTCAAATATCGTACCACCACAAGGAAGCAATGTCTATGATGCTATCACAAGTTTCCGACTAACAACTTTGAAATTCTTTTTTATGTGACAAGACCATACACTCCCACCGTAAGTAGGGCGTTCTCATTAAGTACAGGAAATGCACATAGCAAACTAGCTAGGCATGTATCCACATTACTTATTTGATAACCAGCCAGAAACCACAATAGGGCCTATAGATAAAATGAGAAAACAAATGCGAAAAATGGAGAAGACTCACATTTCTTGAGTTCCAAAGAAGAAAACGAAATGTTTCTTCGGGTCCGGTGTCTTCTTCCAGTCTTCAGGCCGACATATCTGTAACCAAAACCGTAAGGTCCAGTTTAAAAGCACCTAGCAGGAACATAGACCAAGATGCTTGACAACGAGGATAGCCAACATCCATGGCCCTCCTAGGTTTTTGTAAGACAACAGCCAATCAATCATAAAGAAGCCCAAAATTCAAAGTGAACATGAGATAACGAATTCAGTCTTCTCCATCCTGTCACACCTAAGAACATATAATTGACGAAGTAGTAATTAATAATCTGAAAATGTACCAAAACCTAACTAAAGCCTCCTCAACCCCGATACAAATCACAATAAAACAGCATGATTGGCAAAATCCTGGCTCATCAATCATACAAGTGAAGTGGCCAATAGAGCCAGATTATACACAACAATGCGCAGATGCTCATAATCAACAATGCCAATTGTCGTTTGCACATAACCGTATAGCCCCTAGAATGACAACTTTAGAAAAGCATAGAGTAAGGATGTAAAGTTAAGAACTAGACTACCCAGAAACGCCAACTGAAGACAACCCACGAAAAATCAATCCAGTGAAGCGTGGAAGCTGTTCAAACCTAATTACTAGGGTTGCCAGAAGCAGTGAAAAAAGCAAAGCAGAAAAACGGAGCAGAGCCAGGAAAATAAGAAGAAGCAAAGTGGGGAGGGGGGGGGAAGATAGAAGAGAAGAGCTGACCTTGGCAGGCCAAGCAGGGAATCCCTTAACTTTAGCGAGAACAAGATCGCCCAAACTGAGCTGACTCTTGGCCTTAGCCTTATTCGCTCCCCTTTTACGCCCCGGAGCCATAGGCGCTCAAGTCGATCGCAGAATTGAACCTGGTGACCTAAAATTGAAAGAGGAGGAGCACGGGGAGGATTCCAGTTGGAGAACGGATTCCGGAACAAAGAACATACGGAGCAAGCGGCGGCGGAGAGGAGAGGTCAGGGTTCCGGCGGAGGAAGGGTTAGAGACATTCGGGAACTGCAGAGCGAGACGGAGGGTTTCAAGGATTTCGGGCGAGAGGAGTTGGGTTCGATTTTGTGTTTTTGCGGGAGACGATGATTATTGGCGGGACAGGAAAGCGAAGAGGAAGAGAAGGGTAAGTCTTTCTCGTCTTGGATTTTCTTCTTCTTCGTTGCTGGTTCTGGGTGGGTGGTGGTGACGGCCTGCGGGTCGGTCGGAGAGGGTGAAAAACGCTTCTACTGCAGAGAGGGGCGAGTGGGGGTAATTCCGGGATTTCAGTCTGAGATTTAAGTAACAATGCTGTGTGTACAATCCTGTCTAGTAAGCAAAGCGAGTCAGTGAGTGACACTAGTCACCACCAAGTCGGCTATTTTCCCTGCTTCCATCAACGAATACATTGAAAAATACATATAAATATACTAGTTACGGGCCCGGCCGTTTGGCCAGATTTATTTGTCAATCACGTAAATAATCATAGCAAATTTTATGTGAGATTAGCGTTTTTTTCTTTTGGTAGGAACGATTAGCATTTCTTTGGTAGTATGTTAAACATAAAGGTTTATAAAATTACATAACATTCTAATTTCTTGGTAGCATAAAAGAATTCAAATTATTATAATACTTCAACTATTCAAAAGATGACATCACATTGTTTTTCGACATTCTAGGTTTCTAACCGAATTACCGAGTATAATTGTTTTATGAAAAATGATAGACAACCATTCAAAAGATAACCACATATTGTTACAGAGTATAATTGTTTACGGAAAATGAAAGACAAATGATATGTCAGGAAAAGTTATGTTAAAAAATTCTTCTATTTACTCATCATCATATATTACTGTACGCTTTCTTTTTTGCTTGTTTGCATTTTCTATGCCATGGGCAACATCATCATCTCCGCCAGTAGTAAACATCTTCATCTTTATTAGTGACATATTGGTCTCCAATATCACCCGACGCCTGCTTCTTCTCTTGCATTTGAATAATTTCTTCCTTGTTTTCCTGCTTTTATTACGCACAAAATTTTGAGGTTAAAAGATATTTTCAAATACAAATATTTTTGTCATGGTCTTAGAATTTACCTTGTCCATGTTATAAAAAATATTTAGCTCATCCTTGTATTTTAATTGATTTAGCTCATTCAGTGTTTTTGTTGAATTTAGCTGTTGAGGTGCTTTCGTGCTTTTCACTGGCGAATTTGGTCCATCGCCATCACTGTTTTCACTCAAATAGAATGATAATTACTCTGTTTTTATTTTGTCCAACTATAGGAAATCAACCACAGACTTCCAATATTTCTACAATAATTTATCAATCTTCACTAAGCATATATCTTTGATATCACCCATAGAAAGCTGCATATTTGGAAAAATTAGCTCCTCTCTACGATTGAACAGGATACAATCGCTCAATAAATCTCAATTCTTTTCCCACAAAGATTGCACATCAGAAACTTGGTAGTGAATAAGAATTGTGATAAACAGATTCCTTACTTTAATTACAAAAAACCCCATAAGGCAACTTCCTTCAAACACTCCACTCATCATCATGTGGCAATAACTGAAAAGCACAACATACTTTTTGGAAAGAATCATAGACAACATCATTAATTGTTCTAATTTCTTCATAAGAACGACATCCTCTGACTAAATGCACCAACATGCGAAGATAAAATCTTTCTTTGCTAGATGGATAACAATAATATCATCTTTCAATACAAACCTTGTTCTACCACCTTTTCAATTTACAATTCCAAACAAAAATTGAGAAAACTCCACAACGCTATATTTTCGTGCATCAGAAGAATGAGCATTTATTTCCATACATGCTAATAGCATTGATGTTTCATTCTTTTCAATAGCTTTTTCAAATTTTTCGTTCTCCTTTGTCTCTACTTTATTCTCCCCGGGCAAATGCCATGACATACGTAACACAGAAGGTGAATTACAACTAACATCAAACTTAAAAAGTCTCTAGAGTGCCTCACCTGAAGATTTTTCCTAGTTTTGGCGTTCTCCATTACCACTTGGTTTAGATGATAAAGTCGTCATTGCACTATCTTCATATTTGTTGATATATTTGAACAAATTCTTGATAGCTCTAAACAAAAAAGTAAATTGATTACAATACTTCAAACATTCAAATAAAGTTATAATAAAATAACAAAATTTTACTGAATAATAATAAAATAATATAAAATTTATTTAAATGTAAAGGTAATTGTAGTTATTGTAGTTATGTAATATGTTTATGTTTTGATGTTATATAATAAGAAGTTTCCTATAAAATTTATTTAAAGAGAGATTTAAATTTTAAAAAATATAAAATTATAATACAATTCTTTTTTTTATGGTTAATCAAAAATTTCATTAAGCCCGGGCAGCTCAACGAGTGCCTCTCAAACAAAACAAAGGTTCACAGAATCAGAAACAATACAATCAAAATTTAAAATCAATCCAATCTGATCATGCTAAGGCTCTTCTGGAGGTCCAAGTCAATCTCCGCTCGCCAATTCAGAATTCTTCCAACTTCTCTGCAAAGCACACCTGGGGTTTTAATAGAATGCTCCCCATACAATCTTGCACAACGCTCCCACCAGATAAGACTAATAGCGAGACTCCAAACAGCACGACAAGCAACTGCTGCCGAACCCTTTCCCTTCATGAGATGAACAACTAACATTGACTTGTTGCAAAATTCGGCATTGATATGTACCTGAAATCGCAACAATAGGTATCTATTATAGGAGGCGACAAATGGACTATCTAGTGAGTAGTGAGACTCCATTCACCATACGATTTTTTGTTCTCTCGACGTCGGTACCTTGCAAAATCATTGCCATCAATAGTTGTTTGGCTGCAGAATTCCTTTGGAAAATGTTTAGAGCATACACCAATAGTTGTACGTACATGGAGCTTCAGGTACTTGAATGCCACATGGATCATGAAATATAAATTTTGTAACTGCTCCATAACATTCATAATCTGCTATAGGATATGGGATTTCAACATATATAACTAAATATATTTTTGACGGACTATTTAATTTGTCTTCTGCAACAAGGAAAACTAAACAATGAGCATGCAGACCACAATTTCGAATTGCAATGTGATTACATCTGTAATGAAAAAATTATCATAATAATTAAAATTGTAAAATAATAGTTAGCGAACAAAAAAAGAACTTTGGATGCTAAAGTAAAACTACTAATATAACTTACATGCACATGTTTTCCCAAAAATTGTTTAGTTGTTTTTAATACAATCCAAATGCTCAGCCTCAACCAATGCATATGCATTAACAACGTATTGTTGGAACAACTTTCCACAAAATAGCAATGTGTTAGATTCTTCCAGTTTAGTTTTGAGTCTATAGTTGTAAAACTTATATTGGGTCACATTCTTCTTATTGTATCCATCTGCATCCTCATCCTCATCCTCAGAGTATTGAATATTTGGGTGCCAACCATCCCGCCATGTGGGAATAATATGGGATATAGCAAAACCATTAAACTTGGGTGATATTATATACTAATTTGTGCCAGTTCATGACTTTGATACTGGACAACAATACCAGAAGAAAATATTTTCTCCCTAGTATCATCAACAATTAAAGCAGCGGCCTCATTTTCTGATGACAAATCATATTATCTACCATGCCTTCTCTTTTAGCAAGCAAATTTATTTCGATAATATACTTGACCTCCAACCACTTCGAAATCTCCAATATGAGAAAGAAGTTTGGTCACAAACTCTAACATTGTAATAAATGAAGGAAAATGAAATACTGAAAATATAAATAAACCTAGAAAGTCTCCATAATGCATCACACGAAGACGATTATAACGATTTTTGGCAAGTTTGATGGACCTCAATAATCTATTCCTCTTAGTTTGGAAGTTATCATCTCGGTTCACAGTCCAAATAGGAATTAGTAAAATAAACAATCCTAGCAACTAACACATAATTTGATAGGATATAAATAGAAAACAAACATGACATAAATCGATTAACAGTAGGAATGTTCACAAATATTGCATGTATACGCTTTTGATTTATACAAAGAGCACGTTTCCTTCTTGCTAATTTGGTCAATGATAGATTAATTTTCTTCAACTGTGACCTATGTGCATCGAATTATGAAAATGTAAATGGAGAATGATAGTTTTGTAGATCGACATCATGGAGAGATAATACTCAATTTATAATTAATCAATATTTATATCATTCGAAAACTTTTTTTGCAGATCATATAGAGACTGATTAAAATCGACCACACCTTTTGATGATACAAAAATAGCTCTATTTTTTTCTTGAATAACACGTGTCATGGACACACATTAAATTGCATGATGTATATAATTATGCTAATAAAAATATTTTTGCTTGCATTCACTTTCTAATGATCAAGGTGAAACATTATTTGGTTGGTTGGATGAGTCTCCACGTGGAAAATTTCTTTGAGGAATGGAACTACAAAAGAGGAGCCTTCAAAAAATTAATGTAATAATGAGATGTAGTATAAACGCTAATTTAATTGTTGGGAACATTAGATTTTACATGTCGTAGACTAAGTTGAATATAATGTTAAAAAAACACGACAAAAAATTATATACATTCATGTTTTGATAACTTGGTCTACTGACTTTGACTAATATCCTTTATACCAAATAACAATACCAATACCAATGATTAAAAATATGAGGCTACATTGGATTACCCACAATTCCCTTCACAATTCCCTTAATGCAGCGTACCAAAGCCAAAAGAGAAGAAAGCAAACATACATGTGTAAGAAGCCTTCTAAAAATTATCGTAATAACGGGATGTAGTATACGATATGAGAAAGTTATGCATAAAATACGTATGGATATTTTACTTCGTTTCTAATCTAATGTAATGTTTAATAGCGTATGTAAATAGCTTTCAAAGAAATAAATATAAATTAGTTATTTTAAGTTCCCAGAATTGAGTATAAATGTACGATATGATAAATTAGTTATTTTAAGTTCTCAGGTAGAATCTTCTTATATTAGAATAGGAGCAAACGTACAGAATTAACAATAAATAAGTTGTATGGTGACAAAAGTGAGTATAAATCAATTCATAAGTATACTAAATTAGTTATTGTAAAAATAAATAAATATCTAAATAATATTACCGCTAACAATTTAATTCATTAAATTGCTGTTTCGTTCATGCAACATACCAAATTATTCAAGGGGAAAAAAACAGCGTACCAAAGGCCAAAGCGAAAAGAGAAGGAAGCAAACGTACAGAAAAACCTGCAAATGGGGGAGAAGCCTTTCTAGACTGGAGTCTTGCTGCTGTTGGTGCAATTACGGGCCCAAATAAATCCCTCTCCATCCCAATATTCCATTGCCACTTCGGATGATTATTTTTACCTATGTACCCCTCCGTGCTCTGCGCAGGAGCCAGGGAAATTCCAATTAATGGGGTCATGGAATAGAACCTCTATATATTATTTGTAGGATGTAGGATAGGATAGGATGACAAAGACAAATTAAGCTAAATAAATTTGCCAGTCTTCCAAAAAAATTAACTCAAGGATTGAACTACGGGTAATGCGGGATAAGAAAATCAATCACATACGGATTTCAAACTTGAAGTTAACAATCATCGGCAAAAAATAAATTAGGCGAGAACATGTTTTTAGCCACAAATAATTGTAGAAAGTTTTTAGTTTAGTTTAGAAGTTGAAAATCATCCGTACCTAAATCAATGGTAAAAGTAATATGAAATAAAATGATTGATCGATATATCGAGTTGTACAACACAAAAATTAAATAGTGTCAATTCTTAATTGAGGTGATCTTAATTTCTATTAGTCACATGTGCCTCTAAGTAGTTAATTACCTTCTAATTGATGTGGACAATTTCACCCCTCACCAATGAGACAAACAAAGTTTGACACTCTGCTAATAACTTGAGGGAAGAGATGATCCAACACCTCGAAGATCTTTAACGATGATCTTATAGACGACTTTATATAGACCAACAATCCACATATAATGAATGAATTTTTTTTATCCAAGATAAGCCCCCAGGGCATGGCTGGACAACAAACAAAGAGACAAATAATAATAAAGAACGGTAGTCCGTATGCAACCGGACTCCCGATGAAAGAGCCTGTTATGCCACGAGATGGGCAGCTCTATGAAAGCTCCGAAGAGCAAAATGACACGAAACTGACTCAGATAGAGAGAAGAGGGAGAATACTTCCCCATGAACACCCGTATGGGTGTAATAAGGCTTCTTGATTGCATCTAAATACGATAGGAGAGGAAACATCTCCTGCAAAACAAAACAAGTGAACTAGCAAATACATGGAGAAAAAAAATATTCCACTAAATAAAAAAGAACTCTTTCAGAATTACCAAGCACGACAACAACAGAAAGTTGTAGCAAACAAATATAGGAAGCAATCAATTTCCAAAGGCCGAATTAAAAAAAATTGGAAATTTGACTCTACTAAGAAAGTCAAACAAAAAAAGTAGAATTGCGGAAAGTAAGAATTGAAAATAATAAAAAAAAATTCAAACTAAATTAACAACCCTTGAAAACGGAAACTAAGAGATAAAAGTGTTACTAAATTAATAAAAACAGAAAAAAAGATCACTAAAAAAAATAAACTGAAGAAGTAATAATAAATTGGCAAGGGAGAGAAGGAAAAATAGTTGAAAAAAGGAGAGAAATAAATAACAAAACCAATGCAAAAATGGTAAATAGTAAATGAAATTTAAAACTAGGGCCTTAATTAAATTACATTACCTGAAGCCCACACGTTATTGTGGGAAACGGCCTAATCAGTGCCGCCATAAAGAACTATAATAACATAAATGGAAAAAAACCACAGAAATCTTCAAACTAATTAGAAGGAATTAGAACAATCAACATATAGTAATGTCCGACGCAATTAAAGCCTGAAATATCGGAATTCAGGAATTTCAAACCAGGAATCACAGTGATGGTCAAGCTCCGTCACCGACGGCCATCACTATTTCGCCGGCGGCAGAGAATACAGAGTACCGGTCGGATCCATGAAACCCAGGTGATCGATGATGATAACCAAACCAACGCTACGGTCATATTCTGGAATTGAACAGAGGATCACCACTTTTAAAGAATAATAACATCAAGCCACGGATGTATAGAGTTGGCCATGGAGCCAAAACCAGAAGTACCCATGATATAACGACGACAGGCGTCGTAATGCGGAAACAGAGTAATAGAGCTCTGTATTTGGATATACCATCTTTTTGTAATTAGGGAATAACAAACGAAGACATACCTGCCATGGAATAACCCAACAGAATCACCAACGAAAGCCAACGATTTCCCCCTCACGATCTCGAGGAACTGCGCCGGGTTGAAGACGGGGAGGTCGCAGCTGTCGGGCTTCCACCGCCACCGCATGAAGCCGTTGAGCGAATAAGAGACGATTCTCTTCATAGACAACATACCTAGCAGGCATAATCTCTGCAACAGTGGCAATGGTGCTTGCAATTCTTTCCTGGAAGCGCGGCCCATACTGTTTCTTACCCGCGGAGATGGGTTGTTCATCCTTCTCAACACCGAATACAACAAAGTCTTCCATTGGGTCCGAAACCTGGCCCACAGGAAGGTTAACCAGGAAGGTATAGTCTTTGCCAATCAAGCATTCCATCTCTGGAGGTTAACCAGGAAGGTATAGTCTGGCCCACATATAATGAATGAATTGGATTGTGCAACTTTTGAATATAACGTAAGCTTATATAATTAAGAAAATACTACAAAATACAAATGCCCGTATGAAAGAGATGATGCTACAAACGATGTCTTACTAGGTGTGAACGAACATATGGAGATGACCATTCAAGTCAAGCTCTTGCATGAGACCAACATAAGATATTCTCAAGTGTTACTATTCGACCAATCTTCTCAATCATGATGGCGGTTACATGAACCAAAAGTGAAACAAATCTCGAAGAGGATACTAAGAAGTCTTTATGAAACATGATAATGAGCACGACTTAGTTAGCCATGGCAGCCACACCATCACCTTTCTTCGGTTCCATAATGAATGTATCCCAACAACGTACATGACAAGCTCAATGGAAGTTATCACAGTCACCTTCATTAAGCAGACAAACATGAGACTGCTTCGTATACATCTCTTGTTGCCAAAGCTCAAAGATTCAAACACAAACCAATCCCAAAGAAGGATCCAGCCCATAGCTCATCCAAGAAACAGCTTGACAAAGGAGATTTGCAGCAATAAGTCCCTCGAGGACCAAGCATGCAACATTTGACGAACCACCTTCCAATTTACCACTAAAGTGATACATCCACGAGTCTTGATCCAAAATCGACAAAGACCAAACGACCAAACGACCAGACTCCATTTACCTAATGCAAGTGATGCAGCGGAGGACCTGATCATATGCTTGATTTCCATTTCTCGACCAGAAGGAAAATAATTTCCCTCCCGTTCTCACAATGTTATGGACTTCATTTACTTAAATAACGCAATGGTAATCCATTTTAGCTCTGTATTTCATCACATTTCTCAAATCAGAGTTGAACTTGCAGCCTGTTCCTATATAAAAACGCACTTGACTGACTGGACTCCAAGTTTCTTAACCAAACAAAACCTATGGAACAAAAGAATCGGCTGCCACACCATGCGAGTGAATACTAATAGTGACGACAACAGAAGAAGAAAGAGAGTTTCAGCACAGTATATCTATCTCTATCCCCTTCCCTGCGTGTAATATATAGAGTAAGCAAAAGCTAAAACAATTAAGAATTAACCATTCAGCAAAAAAAACCTTGAGGTACTTAAACCGGTAAGCAATTGGAAACATTCAAGGATATGAAAGGAACCATGAGGAGAAAATGACTGATCGGTAAGACTGCCAGAACAACAAAATGTTCACACTTTCCGAAACAACTGATCTCACTTAAACAAAGAACAAACAAAAAGTCTCTAATCCTACATACTACATAGTTAGAATGATGTTGCAGCATGATTAGATCATTCGAGCTGAAATCATGGCTGCCAGATGAATAGTTTATGAGGGCATCAAATTATTCAAGCAGTAAAATATAACCCCCTCTGAATTCCTCTCCTTTATAACTAACTTCCAAGCGGATTAAAGATAAGCAGGAGAAATAAATACGATAACCCAGAAGTCAACCAAATCTAATGCAGTAAGGGAAAGAGTCAGACTCCCCTGAAACAACTATCGGAAAAAGCTAGCACAAAACTCTGACATACGACAACAGAGTCCATTCTGCCAAAATCTTACCCGCACTCCAGTCTTTAGTTTGAACCCTTTTGCTTGCCTTCCTCGGCAACAGCATCCGCCACCAAATTCATCGGCCGGTGATCAATCACCTCATCAATGATCCCAAATTCCTTGGCCTCTTCAGGGGTCATAAAGTAATCCCTGTCCATGTTCTTCTGGATGATATCCACAGTTTGGCCAGTATGCTTTGAATACAGCTCATTCAATGCATCCCAAACACGAATTATCTGCTTTGTGTGGATCGCCATATCCTTAGCTTGCCCACTGTACCCACCAGATGGTTGATGGATCATTACTGTTGCATTCGGAAGTGACTTCCTCTCGCCTTTAGCTCCAGCAGCGAGAAGAAGAGAAGCCATTGATGCAGCTTGGCCTAGGCAAATCGTATTGATTGGGGACCTTATGTACTGCATGGTATCATAGATAGCAAGACCTGTGTATCACACCAAAAGAAAATTCTTAAAAGTGGCCGTCAACGAGAAAATGCAGCATACGGATGAGAGAAGTTGAAACTTTCAGATGAGAACAACAGTTGCGCAATAGAAGACAGAGAAGAGCACAATTTCTTCGCTTAAGTTAACCTGCTTGGGGTTGACACCAGAAGATGCATAAACTCATGGCCATCCCAATAAACAACCAATTGTAGCTTCGCAACAATTACGAGATGAAGTAAATCTTTGATAGTACAACTAGCATTAGCAACCATTTCAGCCACTAAAAGAGGTCTACATCCAGCTTATCAGCCCTCCTATTACATGAACTTGAGAGCAAAGATTAAAATTTTCAAGAGAACAAAAAATTCAGACCGTGCATCAAATGAATCCATCTCTTGCCACCTGACCTCTCTTTAGCAGTAGCAGGATGCACTAATAAAGAAATCTAAAACCCTAACCAGTACAGCTAGAGACTTGGGCGCATTGTGCAGGGGCAATAACCAGAACACGGGGAAACAGTTTGTACAGTTACTCCAAATCCTCGAGTTTAGGAGGGCTACGAACAATGTACAAAAGAAAGACTTAACTGCAAGAAGAACATAAGGACGGGGAAGCCGATAGCTCATTCCAAATCAAGTAAAAAGAACGATTTTACCAACAAAAAAAAAAAAACGATTCAATCGCTGAATTACGGATCACTGGATCTCTAACCATAACGGCGATATGAAACGAGAATGAAGAATTCGAGCCAAATGATTCGAAGAAACGCAGAGAGAGGGAGTTACAGACCAGCGGTGACTTGGCCGCCGGGAGAGTTGAGGTACATGTGGATAGGCTTGGAAGGATTCTCGGACTCGAGGAAGAGTAGCTGAGCGACGACAACGTGAGCGGTGTCGTCGTTGATGGGGCCGTTGATACAGACGATCCGCTCCTTGAGTAGCCTGGAGAAGATATCGTACGCCCTCTCGCCGCGGGAGGACTGCTCGATGACCATCGGGATTACGCTGTAGGCGCGGGACGCGGTGGTCGAGGAGGATGCAGTCCTGCCGGCGGTGAGTGAAAGGATAGGGCTAGCGGCGAACATCTTGGCGCGGGAAACGAGAGCCCTCATGTCGACGGTGGACGGCGGCAGGCGGACGGCGGAAAGGGAAGAAGAAGGACAAGAATGGAGTAGAGGCCGTGGGTTGTTGGGGTTTATGTGGATCGAGCTCGAGTAGTACATAGTGGGAACGGGCCAAAAACTTGCACCGAGATCTGTCTCTGGTATCCCTCCGTGTAATGAAATGCTTTTATATTAAAATCCTTTTGAGTGCCCAGGAGGTTTCTTACTGAACAAGATTTCAGCTCTCTTCGACGACTTTGGGAACCACTGAGTGCTTCTTCCTTTGAAATTCAAATGATCAAATCAGCTTGATCGCTGTTCAGGGCTTACAACTCTCAAGAATCGTCAATTTGTCGACAAAACTCGCGGATTACTCTTCGTTGGTATAATTAAGTGAATGAACTTAACATGAAACTGGTATTCTTTTCAGATCGAATGAACTCGGAAGGGATCAGAAGAGAAACCAAAACTGATTTTGATAGTCTGCTACATTGCATAACAAAGAGAACTTCGATTAACCAAACTGTTACAAACTTAAACCAATACTAAGCACTTTAGGATTCAGTTCTGCTAATGAAGGAAGATAACAGACAATACAACTGGAATCTAGAACAGAGATGTTCCCTTGCCCTTCTTGTCTCCACCGATTTCAAAGTGCTTGCACCTCTGCATCCAACAGTAGAAAAAAAACACCATCAGTATGTGACAGCAGCGGGCACTGGAAACAGCGAATGTTCTACTGAGTACTGACCTTGATTGGGTGCTGAGAGACATGCTTGCAGCCTTGGCATTGGAGCCTCAGGACAATCTTCTTTGTGGTTTTTGCCTGTAATAATTGGCAAGGAGGGTGGGAAAATATCACAACGTGTAGAAAATGGTAGACTCCTGACGACTCATAAACCATGGATTCTATTAAGAAACTAGGCCTCAGAAACTATATATGTCTGTCATTTGTAAGACATCAGACAATGTAGGCAAATTATCATCATCACAGGCCTATCCATTCTTACAAAACCCGTTATCAGAAACAATATATAAGATACCCCACGGCCACATGGGAAAACAGGTCTTAAATACACCCAGGAAAAATTTCAATAATAAGGGCCGTGCAATCGTTCTAATAGCCAGGGAAAAGAACGCAATAAACAGGAGGGGGAGGCTCCGATTAAATCCATCACACAAACAATACAGTCTGTAATCCAGGAAGTTACCTTCTTGTGGAAAACAGGCTTGGTCTGACCACCATAACCAGATTGCTTGCGGTCATAACGACGCTTTCCCTGAGCAGCAAGACTATCCTTACCCTTCTTGTACTGGGTGACCTTATGGAGAGTGTGCTTCTTGCACTCTTTGCTCTTGCAGTAGGTCTTCTTCGTCTTCGGAACGTTCACCTGCAATCAACAAGGTTTTAACCATCACTCGACATGCTCACCAAAAGGAAACTACAACAACTAGCAAGACCTGAACACCCAAGCATGAACTCCAGTTTAGCAGCAACAACCAACGAACAAAACTTCACGAACCCAGATCAGAATAGAAAGATTAACAGCCGAATTCCATAGCCACAGCAAAAACGGCAGCACTAACTTAACACTTATCTTATCCCAAAGTAAGATAAACGTGAAGACCTCAAACCAACGAAGTGTAAGATCAGAATCAAATCCCACTCTTCATCGTCGCCGGTGATGCTACTTAACCATCTAATAAAGCTTTCAGATAGAGAACAGGTTGTGAAATGAATAGTAACCTCGAGCTACTCCGACACTGACGAACCAAAAATCCAATTCAAATCGACAGAAGTGAAGCATTCAACTCCCTATTACCATCTAGCCAGTCTATAATTGTAATTTCGCTGGGGAGACACAACATTCAGAACGAAAGGATTTGAAATCAGCTCAACCGATCTGCGAGGTAAAGAGAGAGGGAGACAGGTGGAGAATTTACCATCGTTGCGGCGGAGTTGGAGCTCGGGATCCTCGGCGTGCTTCAACGATGAATCCTGGTGGAAGAATGGAGGGAGCTAGGGTTGGTGGGTATTAATCGGCTTGGATTGGGGACCGAGTCTTTATCTCACAGGCCTGTTGTTTTATCTCGAAGGCCTATATGGGCTTTTCGTCCACTGTCGCTGTTGTAGGCCCGCGGTTGACAAGCAATTTCTGAGCCTTCTAAATATGGGCTCAATAGGCTTTGCGATTTAAAGAAAATAAAAATAAAACAATTAAAGAAATAATTAATAATTAAGTCCGGGTGAGGTTAGGCAGCCAGAATAAGGGTTAATTGCATGGTTGGTTACTGAGATTATAAAAAGCGTTCATGTTTGGTCACTAGAAATATTTAAATCCAATCTTGGTCACTCAAATTAGTTAAATGGTTAAAGTTTGGTCACTCTCCGTTACCTTCCGTCAGTGTCCGTTAACACCGTCAATTATTTGCTGACGTGGCTAACAGACTCACCTAGTCACCTATTTTTGGTAAAAATAAAATAAAATCCAATCTTGCCACGTCATTAAAACTTGCCACATCATAAAAACCTGACCAATATGACCCAACCCATTAACCCATGATCTGACCTACCCCAAATTAAAACCCAAAATTGACCAATCCTCAAAATCCCTTGCCCGGAGAAGACGACCGAAGAAGCTATTGCCGCCGACCTGTCCAATCCGCCGGTTTCCCCTCTTCTCCTTCCTTCGACAAAAACATCAACGCCACGAGCACCACCATCTCCGACCCTGGCTCTGGTCTGCACCTAACGATCCACACCTGGTAGTCGATCCACACCTGGTAGTTCTCGCCGCTATTCAGCCTCAGTGTCTCGAATCCGGCACCGGAATCCTGCTAGTAGCCGGCCTCGTTGGTGAATCTGGAGGTGAGCGAATTGAGATCGATCCCCACATGATTGTCGTTGATATCGCTGAACTCCTGGTTGGCGAAGAAGTCGAACTCGACGCCGAAGATTCGAGTGTTAGGATCGTTGTCGATGGTGCGATTGAGGAAGCCCAGGTTCTGAGAAGAGGAAGCCCCCTCGATTCCGGCGAAGGGGACGAACAGGAAGACCAATCCGTGGCCCGGGAGGGCATCTCTGTACGGCGCCATGGCGAAGATGAAGTAGGTGGAGAAGGGGTTGACATAGGAGGAATTGGGGGTTTTGGTGCGGATTCTCTGCGGGTAGAGAGCGCGGCCGATGGTGAATGTGCTGGAGTTGGTGAGGGTGAGGACTCGAGATTCGACGGCGGCGGATCCGTAGAGGAAGAGGCTGAAGGAGGAGTTGGTGGAGTTGAAGCTGTTGAAGATGAAGTCGACGGCGGAGGTTGGTTGGAAGTGGAGGAGGTGGAGGAGGAGGAAGGGGAGGGTGTGAAGCGGCCGGCGGTGGTTTGTTGCGGCGGGGAAATGGGTGGCGGTGGCGGCGGTTATTTCATTTGGGGAGAAGAGATGATAAGGTGGGGAAATGGAGAAGGCCAGAAGGGGAAAGGGAGAGTTAACCGGTTTCGTGAACGATTCTGGTCAAACATCTGGATTCTCATTTAATATCTGAAGGAAGGAAAACGAGGGAGGAGGAAGGAAAACGATGGATATGATGTGGCAAGCTTTAATGACGTGGCAGGATTGGATTTTATTTTATTTTTGTAAAAAATAGGTGACTAGGTGAGTCTGTTAGCCACGTCAGCAAATAATTGACGGTGTTAACGGAGACTGACGGAAGGTAACAGAGAGTGACCAAATTTGAACCATTTAACTAATTTGAGTGACCAAGATTGGATTTAAATATTTCTAGTGACCAAACATGAACGCTTTTTATAATCTCAGTGACCAACCATGCAATTAACCCGCCAGAATAATGTTGTAGAACTTCTGGCGTTAAGGTTTGTGTGTAACCCATGATTTAACCATCTTAGTATATTGTGATATTGGGTTCTTTTGGACCATAATTTTTGTCGTCGGCAATCACCATCGTAATATCAATTTTAGCATTCCGTCTTTACACGCTAGCGTTCCATCTTCGACCTCGTTCCAATCATACTATGATTCGTCATAAACTGAATTGAAGGCTTGGGTTGTTATTGAACAAAGTGCACAAATAAGACTTTCCATCTCTGTTATTGAACAAAGGCTTGGATTGTCACCAGGGATATTTTTTGTCATAGTCCTTTTGTCTTCGTTACATATATAGTTCTTCCTCATTCGCGAAATATTGTGATGTAAATCCCACTCCATATTGAAGGACAACTCAGGAGGTTGATACTAACAAAAAAAAAATGTTAGCACACTAGCTGCTCAGCTCTTCTTGACTAGTTTTACGAATTTATCTCATTGTATGAAGCAAGATTCCTTAATATTTAAATTACAAAGAGGCTATCTATGTATAATATGGCTAAATGTTGCTCTAACTGTACTTAATTTATGGGATTATTTATGCAGTTTTATGTATTTTTGTTCTTATAAAAAATAAATACAGAAAAATACTAAAAAGGTACCCTCTCTACCATTGTCGTCATTCGCCGGTCGTCGCTATCGGCCATCAATCACCGAATGCCACCAGCAAGATTTAATTTATAGTAATAAGGCAGAGAGAAAGAAGAAAGATGACTAACAACGACGAAAAAAAAAGAGTAACAGGAGGTCGTTTTGATGGGGTATTTGAGTCAGGTATCTGAGTCCAAATTTGGAACCAAATTAGTTAATTGGGCTATGAGTTACTTACAAATAACTCTAAACAAGTTATTTGAAATAACTCCTACCCCTAGTTATTTCCAAATAACTCGTTTTGCCTCAATGCTTTTTTCCAAATACCACATGCCAAACAACACATGTGCATAGTTCTATCAAATGAGATATGTTGATGCCGAGGTTGTAGCCGACATCGAGTTTTTTTTATGTTGGGCACCAGAGTTGGTCAACGACCACCTTTCACCTTGAACTTCTCTTGGAATGTTAGCTCCGGCCGTCTCCTGCAAAAAGGGTTCGCCGGCCGATCTCGGCTGGGACACTCTCCGACGCTCAAGTAAGTGAGGGGGTTGAGTGTAGAGGAATATGACATTGAGATGAAAGATGAGGGGATGAAGTTGAGAATGAATATATGCGCTAATCATAGCGAGAGTCCACGAGTCTAGGCATAGGGATTTTTGCTTACCTCAATCTGGAGACGAAGTGGCCTTTTATAGAAGCCTCCAGGCGGACATGAAGGGAGTATGTGTCTCCCTCAGGAGGTTGGTGATTTCGAGAGAGGACACGTCGCGAGGGTATGTGGCTAAAGGTTTTAGGTGACCTGGGGTGGGCGGAGAGCCCAAGGTGGTCGAGGTGACCAAGGTTGGCTGACCACGAGGGTGACCGGAGTGACCGAGGTGACCCGAGTTAATTGACCCCACGGTGGGCGGAGTGCCCCAAAGGTGACATAGGGTGATTGACCCTAGGTGGCCGGAGTGACCCCAAGGTGACCCAGGGTGATTGACTTCGGGTTGCCGGAGTGACCCCGGGGTGGGCTAGGTGACCCGTGGCAATTGACCCGGGGGTGGCCGCCTGGCCGGAGTGACCCCAAGGTGACCTAGGGTGATTAACCCCAGGTGGCCGGAGTGACCCCAAGGTGACCCGTGGTAATTGACCCCGAGGTGGCCGGAGTGACCCCAAGGCGACCCAGGGTGATTGACCCCGAGTGGCCTGAGTGACCCCAAGGTGACCCAGGGTGATTAACCCCGGGTGGCCGGAGTGACTCCGAGGTGGGCTAGGTGACCTGAGGTAATTGAACTCGGGTGGTCGGAGTGACCCCGGGATGGGCTAGGTGACCCAGGGTGATTGACCCCATATGGTCGGAGTGACCCCGAGGTGGGTTAGGTGACCCGTGGTAATTGACCCCGGGGTGGCCGGAGTGACAACAAGGTGACCCAAGGTGATTCACCACAGGTGACCGAAGTGACCCCAAGGTGACGCAAAGTGATTGACCTCGGGTGGCCGGAGTGACCCCGGGGTGGGCTAGGTAACCCGAGGTAATTGACCCTGGGGTGGCCAGAGTGACCCCAAGGTGACCCGAGGTAATTGACCCCGGGGTGGCTGGAGTGAGCCCAAGGTGACCCAGTGATCGGTGAGGTTTGCTGATTATGGACTATGTGAGAACACCTTCGTCAAATTAATTTTTTTAATTTGGGGTCCATCAATTACCCTCCTTGTCATCGTAAACATTGAACGAAGCAGATTTTACGGTGACAATCACATTTTTTATTGGTCTCTCAGGAACCCTTGGCAAGAGAACGAACTAAATGTGATTCGTGTGTTTCAACAGATCAAATAATTATGTACCGATCTTGGTTGATGAGTTTGGAACTATTATAGACTAAACCAATCTTGGATTTTGAGATATGTATATAAAAAGATCAAACCAATTTTGGCTCATGAAATTTAAAGGGCGGAGTTGAGCTAATAACAGTCCATGCATAGAGTTGTTGAACCAATGTTGGTTCATTATACAGTCGGTGTCTTGGTGATCAACCAATTGTGGGTCACGTATGTAAGGAACAAACCAATCGTAGCTCGTTAAGTGGAGGGATCTGAACTAATATTAGATCAGATATGTTTCATTTGAATGGAGATAATGAAATAATATTGTTCATGAATGGAGAGAATAAACACATTTTGTTCATGCCTTTAGCACATATACCAATCTTTGCATCGATAAACCTTGATATGAGTTCTAGCCATATGTGATTCTCGTTAGATCTTTGACATTATACCCATCATTTGGTTTTCCATCATTCTCGTTATCATTTTTGCTAGAATTTTCGCTGTCTGATAATTCTACTAAGATTACTTTTACTCCCCACATTGATTTATGTTGGCAGTGATGATGGCATTTATGACAGTCTGGGTGGAACCAATCATGATGATAACATCAAGATGACAACACTTTAATGTGGGTGATACATACTATTATGATGATGATGATTATATAAGAAAAAAGCTTGGAGGGGGCATCACACTAAGTGGGGATAGAGCCACAATAGCCATACTGACCACGACAATATAGTCTCGATAGGTGAGATGATGATGATGGAATACCGTCATT